CAGTATACTGTTTGAAAAAGACTGAATCTATTTAAGTGAGTGAGGCAAATGATAAATCCACCCATGAGTTATAGTACAACAGGGATATGGTCCTTATGGGTAAGCATCATTCCTAAGTCAGTGTCTCACCTTGACGTTTATTTTCCGAAAATTACAAGCTTACCCTTTRGACAGCGTTATGAGAGCATTCATCTTCAGCAAGGTTGCAAGCCTTTGACATAATGTCTACCTTGGGCAATAAAGAACTTTAATTTCTGGGCATGAAAGAATCTATGCAAGGATGAACTGCATAATGTGAACATTCATTGCTGTGTTCACAATCAATAAACAGCCAAACATGGCATGCATGAATGATATGTGCTGAATAATGTGTGCTTCCAGTGTGACAACATCCCTTTTCAAACCATATGGCTGTATAATCTTTTCTTTAAAAAACTGCTTTGAGTAAAATTCATCRTCTTTTCAAAAGTTATGAGTTGTGGGAATACTACATTTTATTGCTACTTAGACTAACTGAATAAATTAATTTAGATTCATCTTCACTTTCTTATTCACATGGGAGTTCTTCATCTTAATCCCTTCCTCTTTATCAATTTCTTAATATTTAAAATATCTATAGCTTGAATTAGTTCAAAGTGATTTGAATGCAAGTTGGCAGCAAAAGAATTACCAACATTGATTGAGTATATTATATCATAGTATTAAGTTATTTGGTTTGCCTCATAATTGCTCCACAAGAAATAATGCCCATGCCACTTAGGTAATATAGCTCTGTACCAACCCAGATTACAGAGAAATGTGGTATTACTTGCTCATAATTCCATAGATATAAAGGTGTAATAAACTGAGACAGTTGGGCTCCAGAACCTGCTGATGTGCTGAGCATGTTATACTGCTCTGAATAATAAAAAAATTAGAAAACATAAATATGAAAAAAGACCCTTATTTCTACTACCTAGAAATAAATAGATTTGGATATTATTACATAATAGCATTTTTCTAGAGCTTATATATTTCTCAAAGTGAGATTATTCTTTCAAACCTAAGTGTATTTCAAAAAAATGATCATCTTCTTAGTTTAAAAAGAGCTACAGTAATTGAATTAGGTTAATAAACACACCATTACAAATAATTTCCTTGTATTTATTCTTTTATTAACTTAATTTGAAGTAGTCTTTATTTTTATCTAATATTTTTAATTTAGCTATATTTTCCATTAATATCTAAACATTTATAAAGGAACTCTAGAAACATAATGAATATATTAGCCTAAAATGTCAAGAGGAATTTTGTAAGACTCAAAATTATGAAAGTGAAAAATAAGTAAATAAGCCTTTGGATAAAGAAGAATTTTAAAATTAAAAATCATTAAAAAATACAGGAATGAAAAGATCAACATGTTTGTATTTTACATAAAATATTGTGGATGTTGGGTGGGGTTGTAACTTAGTGGTACAGCACTTGCCTAGGATGTGTGAGGCACTGGGTTTTATTCTCAGCACCACATATAAATAAAATAGAGGTGCATTGACAGCTAAAAAAATATTTTAAAAAATATTGTGGATGTTAAGGTCTAGCACAACTTTAAAAGACATAAAAAATTAGAAATTTTTAATAATAAATTGAAAACAATGAAAATTAATATTATTTTTTAGTATATTTCAAAATATACAAATGGTAATAAAACTGTGAATGGCATTAAATAAAATGGCAAAATGTGGAACTAATTATCAATCTGATAAATATAAATAAAATGAAAGGATAGCATATTAGCAATCCAAAAATCAGAATAAAGCTATAAAATTCCATGGTCCTATCAAACTGATAAAGCATCACTACCTAGTCTTTACCACTGACATTAAGAGCGTAAAATAATTCATAATTCTACTAATGGTGCTAGCATATGATCATATAACAGCATCATTTCTATTTTAACTGTCCTCCCCAACTATAACYTATCCCTTTATCTACAAATACCTATGTGCATTCAGGGCAAACCCATTCATTCCTAAGCATGGACCAATAGAAACCAAGCTTGTGCTTCTGTATACATCAAATAGCCACACCCAAAAAGAATATTTCTGTTATAAYGTAGATAAAGAAGCTGCAAGATTATCCCTTTGCCTACTTGAAAGTTTAAGATGATGCGTGAGGTGGCTATGGAGTAAACATCAGCCTAGGCTACTCTGCAGAGAGTAAGAAAATTGAGAGACAGAATAAAAGAAAATAGAAAAGGCGAACATCTGTGCCAAATGGCTTCCCATTTTCTCCTCAATCTTTTCCTGTGGCCTGATTCTATAAAATTCCCTTGTTCCCTGATAATATGCAATGTGTTTTGCYCAATTTGTTCATAATATTTGAAAACAAAATCATAAGAGAACAAATTATTTTAAAAATGATAAAAGTTTGTAAAACACACTGTCTACCCCTACATCTCAAAATCAATCTTTAAAGGGAGCATGCAAAAAAATCCTACGTTATATCATAAAAATACATCATTAAAATATTTTGGATGGAAATGTTTATTACATTCTTGTTTACAAAAGTAAAAAGAAGAAAGTAACACAAATACCAAAAATAAGTGAAAAAAAWTTTTTTCAGGTTTTTTGTTTTATCTTAATTTATTTAACTGTGTACCCCCATTTAAAAGCATACAATTCTAATTTTTGTGAAAAAATTTTAATTGCTACTTATATACAATTCAATATTATATGAGTATTAAAATTGCTTACAAGACTTGTAATAAAATTGGTAAATAAATATCTTATGATATTGGGAAGATTATAATGGAAATATCTGTTTCTTAGTTTGAGAGCATTTTAACTCTATCATTGAAGTTTGCATTTCATAGACAGGTGTTTAATTTTTTTTTCAGTACTAGAAATTAAACCCAGGACCTTGCACATGCTAGATGCTAAGCCCACTATCCCTGAGCCACAACCCCAGCTCTTTGAGGCAAGGTCAGCCAGGTTGCCCTGGCTGGACTTGAATTTGTGATCCTCTAGCTTCAGCCTTCAGAGTAGCTGGGATTATAGGTGGTTGCCAAAATGCCTATCTTAAACTTTTTAAATTACTTTATTAAAGCAATACTGTCTAATATTGCAATTTCATACTTTAATTATTGTGTTAAATTACTAGGAAATTTTTTATTATTTGCTAGTCAGATTTGATGGTATTCCATTATTACTTTATTGATATAATTTACAAAAATATTCCCATGATGTTTATAAAATACTAGTAAAATTATTAAGGGTGATTTTCAAATTGTGATCACCATAAATATCATGTAGCTTAATCTTTTCATTAAGTTATTCTCAATAAAGTTATTTGCATTTAGTTTCTTAGCATACTAATTTTATAAACATACTGGAAGACCATGTTTTTATATACTTAAGTCTGAAAATTATTAAAGTTCTGCAAAAGTGTAATAAATGCTTTTGGCTATATAAATCTTCATCTCATTAGAGCAGATTAATAGGGATTATTATAATTATTATAAAAGAGCAGATTAATACAGAATGGAAAAATATATCTTTTTAGAATAGTATTTTTAGTCAATATCTAATGATTTAGGCAATCTTTAACAAATTTTCCTACAAACTATCAATTGGTTACTAACTAATTTTTCTAGTTTTTAGAAGATGTATTCTTTTCAATATTAATGTTAAACTTAACCTAAAGCAACCAATTCTAACTTATCTTGAAATATTCCATAATAAAAAACTTCAGAGTCTAATGAAGCATGACCTTCACATCAGTAATGTCTAATGTCTATCAGATAACTCTTACTATTTTATCCTAGCATATATACTCTAAATAATATTGCATTTACTCAGTTATAGATAGAAATCATGATCATTAAAAATTTTGACGCTTATATTTATCTTTGAATCAACTGGTTTTGGTATTTGTATTTTTTTCATTCCCATATAATGTCAATATATTCGGTGTGAAAAGTCTGCATTCAATGCTACCATGTTCACTCCAGGCTCTGGCCCAGACTTCAGACTCTGGCACAGTCTGGCTTAATGAGGATGATATGATACATAACCCACAGAAGTGCTGTGAGATTTGCTTGACATAGCTATAGAAAGAATCCTTGAATACTGTCAGCATTCTAGTTAAAACTTAGTAAATGTTAGTGGTTGATGAGTAAATTGAAATCAAGGGAAAGATGTGGACACTCATGTTTGTYTTCTCTGTACATTACTACATTTTATTCCTTTTTTTCCATTTTCCACTTAAGTATAGTATCAATTTAATTACTTGTCACAGTTTTTAAAAAATGTGCATGGTTGGACTGGGGATGTGGTTCAAGYGGTAGYGMGTTGGCCTGGCATGCACAGGGCTCTGGGTTCAATCCTCAGCACCACATAAAAATAAAAAAATAAAGATGTTGTGTCCACCGAAAACTAAAAAAAATAAATATTAAAAAATTCTCTCTCTCTTTTTCTCTCTCTCTTTCTCTCTCTCTCTCAAAAAAAATGTGCATTGTTGTGTTTAAATCAGTAACAGCCAACATATTCATTCTCATATTTAGTTGCATCTGCTTTTCTCAGTAATTGTTCTCCAATAACACTTAAATATTCAAATTCTTAACATTACRTAGTATGTATTTCTCTTTCGTGTTATTTTTCAGGTTTAATGATAATTTAGCCAAAGAGGGGGAAAAATGTATAAATTTGTAATTACGTTTGCTAGTCGCCAAAATACACCTACTATTTTTCAATTAATTGTAACATGATTTCTTTGAGAGACACTTTTTCAAAGTTCTTGAGTCCTCTCCAAAATATCCAGATTAGTAAAGTTGTCAGAGTTTCAGATTTCTCCCTTCCCCTCAAGCTATCCCCCAGAACCAGCTTCCTTCTTGGGCATGGATATGTTTGGGTAAAAAAGGAAGACAGTTCAGGTTGATAAAGCAATACTCCTGGGAAAAGACTATTAACATGTATAAAGGGATTTCCTTGCAGTATAAATGCTAGCACGCGCCCTCCTGGTGCCTCAGAGACTTCTTGATGTATATATGCAGGTAGGGAGAATTGAATCAGTCCTTTGATACAGTAATATAGTAAAACTTTCATTTGGGGAGCAGCAGTTCTTATTTTTCTACTCTCTTGTGGGAATGAGTTGCCAATCTTTTACTCCGGCTGATACCTTTATACCTCTGAATTCTGACGCTTCTGCAACTCTGCCTCTGATAATGCATCACAGTGCTGCCGAGTGCCTACCAGTCTCCAACCATGCCACCAATGTGATGTCTACAGGTACTGACTYCTTTGACAGTTTCCATATGGCGAGGCCTAAAATTTGCAGAATGAATGCTTTGACTCTTGCTACTGAATAATCTCTTTGCTTCTTTTATATTTTCCCTTCAATTTCATTTGATTTGTTAAATATTAAACATATTTAAAAAAACAAAATGCCTACAGACTTTTAAATGAAATATTAAGGAAATCATCTAGATTATTATTGATTTTATTACAATAAAGAAAATCTCTTTTAGACATATGAAAGCAGTGGGCAGGATTTTTTTTAATCTGAAAAATATTTGAGTGAAAACATTTATGTATAACAAAAAAATGAAGTGAGTATTCTAAAATAGTTTAATATTTACTAGGTACTACTTCTTTTTATTAAAGATTTAGTTGGTTTTCAAATCACAGGTGGAACTGTTTAAAAGTCATAAACTTGATAATAAATACAATTGAATAATTTCCAATGCCAACAACAGTAGATTTTAAGGAATAAAGTAATTAAATGTTTTAATAAACATGTCTTARACATAATATAAAATCACTAGAAGTAATATAACATTTATAGTACATTAACTTAGTTAAATTTCTCAAGACTGAGCTCCACAGAGACTATATAAACAAGCTCTTATGATTTTCTCATCTGTTTTAAATAGAAATTAAACTTGGGAATTTAAATATTTAGTCTCCCCACAATCAGCCAAATATGTATGCTTTCTTACTGYATTAATTCCTTAATTATATGGTAACAAACTGCTTCAAAGTTAATTTATTAATGGATAAAGGTTTGAATAGAGTATATCTCTTCCATTAAGTAGTAATGCACTATTCAATATTTTTGTTCTAGATGTAATTTGCCTCACATTTAAAAATAAAATAAAATTTTGTACATATAGAATCAAAATTTGAGTTGATAAATATATGTTCTGTTTTTAAAAATGGAAGGTTTGACTTTCACTATAATTAGAGAGTTTTGAAACAAAAAATTTAGAAGAATTTTTAAAAATCTAGAGATTGGATACTTGGACTTTTATAAAATCACTCAATATAGGGTTTTTTTTCATCTAAAAAGGCTCCTATAATTAAACTAAAAAGACAATATTGGAAGTATCCTCAAACATATTTTTTAAAAATAGAACCAAGTGTTTCATATAATCATTTGTTATATTATTATATATATATATTGTTATATACATATAATATTACATATATAGTTATATATACTTTTTTACATATACTATAAATCAATATAAAATTGCCATATAGTTAATCATATATTTTAAATAATAAATCATTTTACAGATTGGGTATAAGAACAATATATTGCTTCTTTTAACTACTGCTGTATGAAGAAGTATTAGTCAGCATGAAAATGAACTTTAGAATTGAGGTAGTGATCTAGCAAAGAGATCTAATTTTAAGCTCAAAACCCTACTTATTTGTTTGATTTTAGGCACAAGCAGAGATTTTTTTTCTTTTTTCTTTTTTCTTTTTTTTTTTTTAGGAAAGCAATGATTATGCAGTCAAAAGGAAGGAGTATGGGCTTCTCAAGAGTAAGAAGCCTATTTATTTAAGAAACAAATACCAGAGCATTTAGTAAATGAGCTTATTCTTTACCCAACTTCATAAAACCAGAATAAAAAATTATTTAAAAGTTGAAAGTAAAAAAGTTTCATTCCAGCAAAAATGGTTAAAAAACCTTAGACTGTTTTAAATTGATTAATACTTTTTTGTGAAGTTATATGTATCTAATTGTCTATGAATTGGAAAAACTGGTTTTAATTAGAAAATTTGGGTATTAAATGTGTTTATATTTATTTGTTTGATTTTTGAATACATAGTAAGATTTTGTTGTCATCTTTATATTGCAAAACAACTTCAGTTCTTTTGATGTCAGTTATAAAATGACTTTCAGACATTTAAAAAAATTAAAGATTRTTCTATATTTAGACAAAATATATTTTTCTTTATGAATAGTCCTCAAGTCTTTAATCACTAGATCGTATCTTAATATTTATTTTTTCCTATTTGGTACCAGGGATTGAACCCCGGTGTGCTTAACCACTGAGCCAAAGCCCAAGATTTAATTTTTATTTTTTAGACAAGGGAATGCTAAGCCCTTAAGGCCTCTTTAAGTTGCTAAGGTTGGTGTGAAATCGGCTATCCTTGTGCCTCAGCCTCCCAAGTTTCTGGGATTTACAGGTGTGTGCCACTATGCCCACAGTCAAAGGGAAAGAGTATGGGCCTTCTGTTTTCAAAGGATCCTAGTCCTATACTATATGATATCTCATTTATTCATAAGATTGGTTTATGTTATGATTATGAAATTCTACCACCTTATCCAGAATATAAGGGAAAAGTGAGAAAATATATAAAGAAACATTGACAGTTTAATATTTGATAGTCCTTGCTCTTTGTCAACTTGATTTATATTTAAAACTTGATAAAATTTCAGTAATTCAAATTTCCATTAAAATACACATTGATTCTATGAAGCATATATATAAATAAGATTATGTTTACACAGAGCTTTATGTATATCTTCAATTGACAATGAACTTATTTTCCAATTGACTTTATCATAAAAACGGTTGAATAAATATGTGCATAGAAAACCTGCATAAATACATCAAATCCATCATACCTTTTCACAGGTTTTGCTGAACACCCTGAAAGCAGGGATATTGTTACAATCGTATGCACTGGCAGGATACTGTCATTTCCTCTTCCGTGAAAGGAAGTTGTTAGGAAAATAAGCAAACCTACAGACTATTCAAGAGTCAATTTCATTATTTATTCTTACAGAGAAAAATTTCTAGCACAACAATGTTAAGAGGCTATTCTTGGTTGTTGTAATGTCTATATTGGATGGAAACTCCCCCAAAAGCCAGGATTTACACTGACCCGTCATCCCTTTGTGGGGTACTTGTAGCTATAGCACAGATCACAGGATAATTAATGAAAGTTATATTTTACTCCAGTGACTTAAGATCTCATTACCAGAAGTGAAGTTTGAGCCCTAATTTTGCCTACTCACTAAAAACTTCTCCCCAGTGAAAAGAAATTATTGGTATATAGCTTTAAGAATCGCATAAATGTGTATCTTTGAAATGAACTGAATGTGTCTTGAATCCTCATACATTTTCTTACCAGTCCCGTCTATTTTGTCTTTGATCCAAACTCCTAAATGTTCCTGCACATATTTCTCTGTGACAACGTTGGGAAATACAGCAACAGGACTTCATTATTCTGTTCCTTCCTGTCATTATGGAAACCAGCCATCAACCTATGGAGTGATGGCAGGTAAGAAAAATTATCTTTGTATATGATATTGAATGGAGGGAAACTGATGAATTCTCTGGTCTTTTGGAAATAATGACCAGTACATAACATAAAATTCTTCTGATATCTTAACCTTGAAATTTACTGGTAAAATCACCACTTATTGAGATGTTTCCTGATCTTTGATGTCCTTGGAGATCATGGAGGTCATATCTGATTGCTCTATTCAACCTATAAACTGTTGTCCTTTTAAAMTCTTATGTTTGCCTTGCATTTTTTAATTTGARAATTWAAAAAATCAAACTGCCAATTGACACCTGAGGCTATTTTGGGCTTGCCTTCAATAGTTATACAGTAGCATTTACATTTAAATGTAAATTAATTGAAATAAAATAAAATTTAAAAWCCAGKTCCCTCAGGTGCCCTAGCTACATTTTGGGTGCTCAGTTACCTCATGTGGCTATGGCTGCCATATCAGACATAAGAGATTTGTTGAACATCTCCCTCACCACAGTATTTCTTTTGAACTATTTGGTCCATAAAGATTAATAAGATACTGTCTGAAAGCTGACAGTAATCTTCGAGGACTTTCCTGATAGCTATTTGGGGCTTTGGTCACCCTTTCTGAGATGCTTGAGAGTCTTAACTGAGAATGAAATCAGTTAAGTTACATACTTATCTCCTCTGGATAAGTAAAGTATCACCATTTCAAGCATAATTGCTGATTTACTTAGGCTCATATGAACACATAGCATTTTTAAAATTTGAGTATTATACATAGTATTTGGGTTCATTTTGGCAAAATAATATGTGCAAGCAATTTGATTTCAATCTTCATTCGGTGCCCATTGCCTGCCCTCCTCCTTCCTCCATTCTGTCTCCTTTCCTCTATGGATCTTCCTCTCACTCCTTTATTTATTTATTTTTGATTGGAATTTTCTACAAATATGTACAGGTGAAATTCTTCTTGGTACATTTATATTTGTATGTACCACATTATTGTTAAATTCATTTTATATTTTTACCCTTTTCCCTTCTTTCCTCCCTCTCTCCCTCTGGTTCTCCTTCTACTCCACTGATTTACCTTATATCTTCATAATATCTGATCCCTTCCCTCACCACTTTCCTTCCCTTATTTTGCTAGCTTCCTAATATGAGAGAAAACATTTGACTCTTGATCATTGAATCTGGCTTATTTCACTTAGCATGATTTTTTTTTCCCCAGTTCCATCCATTTACCAACAACTGTCATTATTTTATTCTTCTTTATGGTTAAGTAGAACTCCATTGTGTGTATACCATAATTTCTTGATCCATTCATCTGTTGATGGGCATCTGGGTTTATTTAATAATTTTTCTATTATGAGTTGTGCTGCTATAAATACTAAAGTGTCTGCATCACTTGTTGAGAGCCACAGTTTAGTCAGAATGACCCCTGACATTTTTGCCAAAGGGAATGGTTGAAAGGTGACCCTGCTCCGGGATTAGGGCGGCTCTGGGATTAGGGCGGATCCTGCTGGGATTAGGGCGGATCCTGCTGCCTTGGGCGCCTGCTACTTTAGAGTTCCCATTGAGTTATCACGGGGTTCTTCGAGAATTGGCGGTGGAGCCCGGTGGAGGCAGTGTGTTCCCAGGAAGTGCAGGAAGTGTGTATAGAGGGCCKGTGAGAGTTCAGGAAGTGTGTGTAGAGGGCCGGTGAGAGTTCTGKGAATAAAGGTTGCTGTTTGAACCTACAAGGCTGTATGGTGGCTCTCTTATTTTGTGCCCAGCCAGACTGCGGCAATCACTGTAGTATGCCAATTTTAGATCTTTTGGATAAATACTGAGGAATGGGATAGGTGGTTCAAATGGTAGTTCCATTCCTCGGTTTTGAAGAGTCTTCACGCTACTTTCTATAGTGGTTGTACTAATTTCCAATCCCACCAGCAATGTATGAGTGTACTTTACCCCACATCCTCATCAGAATTTATTATTGTTCCTTTTAAACTTGGCAATTCTAATTCTGACTGAGAAGAAATCTTAGTGTAGTTTTGATTTGTATTTTTCTGAACCATAGCATAGTTTTTAAGGAAGATAAAAAATCTGGATAAGAGATCTCCTCATGAAAAAACTCATTACTCATTTTAGGGCATGAGGAGATAAAAAAATTTAATTGATTAATACAGGGCACAATTTGTGCACAAATTTTTATTTGTTGTTTATTTTATAAACAAATTTGTTAATCTTCTATGTTTATTTCTATAGCACGAAAAGAACTCTCATTAGTTATATTAAACAAAGACTCTGTGTGTGTGTGTGTGTGTGTGTGAGAGAGAGAGAGAGAGAGAGAGATAATACTGAGAAATTTTGGATGAAGGAATCATATATTTAACTTTTAAATATCTTTTAACTTATGTTTCATTATAATCTAGATAAAATTTGAAATGAAGAAACATCAATTTATGGCTATAATTTTGAAATAAAAAGAAATAATTCTATTCTTGAATTTCTTGAAACATCTCAGTTTAAGACTCAAAAACAGTTAAAACTTTAAAGTATTTCAGAAAAAGATTAGTTTTTTGTTTTTTTTTTTACATTCTGTCATATAACATTTCAAATAAACTAGCATCCTCATTTTWATGGTAAAATGAAGCCTGATATGATTTCTAATAATTCAGAAATAGGGAAAGCCAAAGATACTCTTTGTCTTTAAGAACTGACCACTTATGACCCATGTCCTAAGTTAATCAGTGTTCATAGGTGATAAGAACAACCCTCCTCAGGGATGAACTACTTCCCATTATAAAATGGTCAAATCTGTGCATTGAGCTACTGCAGTTGCAGGTGGACCGCTTTCTTTTGTCTTACAATATTTTGATTATGTAGATGGGAAATGACAAGCACATAGTTAGGTGCTGCTGTCTCTTGGAGGAAAGTTCATTGACGATGATTTCTACAAACCATGGGTTTACCTTTTGTTTCTCTCTTATTCCAGCACAGAAGCAATCCCTGCCCCTTGTTAGAAGACAGCACAAATGAAAAATCGGCCACAGACCAGTAGCCAATAGTCTCTTGCCATAATACCTTCAGATCCTTAATGATAACTCTTCCCTTCTACCACATCCAAGAGGGCCACTGCTGGCCCAATGGGTTTGCAGCTGGCCTCAGAAACCTAACATCCATACTGTTCCTGGGACTGGAGCCAACAGATTGGGTTCACAATAAAAGTCCACAGGCAGTTCAGGTTTTGTGAGTACAAGTTCACTCAAGCAGACAGTTAACACACTCTCTTTAACTAATCCCTTCTTCATCACAATTAAAAAGGAAAAGTCCCCTGAGAAAACCTTTTAACCAGATTCAAAACCTGGCTTAGGGGCAACAAGAGCAAAATTATTAATTTGCAGGTATAATTGCGACCTTAAAATTATTTTTTTCACTGAATGAAAAACTCGCTATGGCAAGCATACAGTTGTATTTGAATATTTCTGAGAGAGATATCATTAAAATGTGATATGCTTTATAATTTGTCAGAAAGTCTGTATTTTGACATTATACCCACCATTAGCATTTTCTTCATGGCAGATTAAACCTTAAAGAATCTATATTTTCATGCCTTCATTCTCAGAGAAGCAGCACAAATTGAGTCATAAAATACAGGAATTCATAAATAAGAAAAAAAGATATAAAATACATAATAGAAATCTGGTTGTTATTTGAATTTTCTGAAGCATTAGAAGGTGTGAATCAGCTACTTTCTCCCAATCCACAGATGCATYTTATCAACAACAAAGACAGATTGTGTCACATGCTCTGCATGAAAATGAAGCTCCAGAAAGAATTATATTTCAAAGGATGTGAAATTACTATTTTAATTTATTTATTTTATTACCTATACTCTGATGCTTTCATTTGAGCATTTTATTGAATTAGCTCACAGGAAGGGAAGAGCTACAGCTAATACTTTGTTAGTTTAGTATGGGGGATTTTAATCATCAGATGAATCCATTGTACCTCCTCGTTCAGGCACAGGCATAAACAGAATGACTAATTGGGAGCAAAAGCCACACCATTAACTAATTACTAACCTTGTTCAAGTCACATAGCACCTCTGAGCTTCAATCTTTCCATATCTATAAATCTAGCAGCAAAATTTGTACCCGACTCAACCTGCTTTCTGTTTTGATCTCTTCATATATTCTTGTTGCTAAAATWCCTTCTTCTGTTCCTTCACTTCTAACAATTTAGACAATTCAACAATCTACAGTGCAAATAACAGGAAACAGAAATATAAATGCTACTCCAATCTTTTCTAGATTAGCACAGAACGAAATATTAACAAAAATCCTTAACACTGATTCTTGGGTATCTGAGATTGYTTGTGTTCTCCAGCTTCTAAAGCAGAGTTTTGAGATTTAGCTCATTGGGATGTCACTCCTTCCTAGGAATTGAAGCAAATCAGCCTCCTGGCACTGAATATTAACTCTAGCTTGGATATAAGATGCAATGGAGAACCAAGAACTGGTATGATAGTTCTTGTTTTAAAGTTTAATTTTAAGAAGGAAGAAAGAAATATGTTCGGGAATTAACCAAAAGGATGAATATCCATCCTCTTTTGATGAGAAGTGGATAATAAGGGAAAGGATAATTATGAATGAAAATGTCCTCCTCCCAACCTGAATTAATACAAGGAGCACCCAAAATTACTTCAACCAATGAGATGRGGAACAAAGTCTACTTTCAAGTCCATCTCTTCATTAAAAAAAAAAAAAAGAAAATTGCTTTTTAAATTTCTTTTGTCCAGTCTGTTCTTTCCTCTCTCCCTCTCACCTCCTTCCATCTCTCCACTCCTCTTTCATTTTGTTTTACCCTAAAGTGTTCCTATGGTTGTTCAGAATTATCCACTSTGAGGGAAGGAATAGTTCCAACGTCATTTGCCTCTCAACCAATCAGAAAAGGTCTTTCAGTAGCAGTAACGTGAMGTATTTTCCCTTTTAGACTACAAATTGGTGACCTTTTCCTGTCAGGAGCCAGACAGTAAATATCTTATGCTCTCTAGACTCTGTTGCAAGTGCTTGATTTTGTCATTGTCGCAGGAGAGCAGTCCCAAGCTACATGGGCATGGCTATGTTTCAATTAAACTTAATTTACAAAAACTGGCAGTGGACCCTGTTGCAAACAGTTGCATTCACCAGTGCAATAAAGGTGAAAAGATCAGAATTGGGATTTATGGTTTGCTTTCAATTTTTATGCATGGGGAAAAAGATGGAATAAATAGAAATATTCCAATACATATTTTCATGCATTTCTATGGCTAAGTAGTTGCTTCCCTCTCCACCCCCACCTTTCTTCTTTTAAGGCACCAAGGCCATAACCTGAGAAGTTGTCAGCTAGTCACATGTTGCAGAAGAACAATTTGCCCCATGCCATGGTACAGAATCAGTACCTTGCAAGGCAAGCCCTACCTCTGTCCTCCACTGCCTGCTTTAAGAGTTACCTCTATCCTTCACCTCTGCCATACAAAATTACATATAGAACAATTCAGAAGGGYTGTGGTGGCTTAATCTTCACTGTGAAGACATATTTAGGCTGTGGAGAGGATGAGAATGGGTCCGAGCTATTTAAATGTGTGCTTGTCTAGTGCACACTCTCTTTAGATCCTTTATCTAAAGACACAATGTTGCTTTATCAATGTTTCCAAAAATGTTTGTGAGAGATTTTCTGTATAAGAATAGCAGATCTTTTACTTTCTTTCTGCTTTTCTTCCTCAGTAATCCAGACTCAAAAAAGATTTGAAAAATTTCTTGCCTCATATACCGTACCAATTACTCCCCACTTCCCTTAACTAGAAAAACACATGCTATAAATGGCACTTTGGTTGTACTTGCAACTGCTATGCTGAATTGTGTAAGGTTAGTTCTAAGAAAACTGTTAGACTGATAATAATTGTGGAAACTTTTATATAACATAGAATAAAAATGTATTGCACATCATGTCTTTATTCTTGGGATGCCAAACTGAAGCATAGTATTTCTTATACACATTTCATGRACTTTGTTAAAATTTATTTTCTAAGTGTCCACTTCTTTGCAGTATTTATAATGTATAAACTACTTTTGAATATTCCTGGAAATAGGGATAATACACTTTTTTAATTAATTAATATTTTGTCAGAAAGCTTTTGCTTAATGTAGCCAAATGTGTTTAAATGCAGGAAAAACCTTTAAAGGAAAGTCATTTAACTTACCTGAGTGCATACAGTTTGGAAAATAAACTAGGTAATTGTCTTGATGTAGTTTATTTGAGTGCTTAGTGGAATTCTGTTCTATTTACTATTGAATAGTTCATTGTGGCACTTGAAGAAAATTATTTAATTTCTTCTTAAATTTCCTAGATTTTAAATTTGGGGGGAAAATACGTATTCTAACTCATTCGTTTGTGTAAGCATGAGGAACATTACCATGAGAAATAAGCCCAAAGTGTTGCATAGAGGATTTGTAGTAGTAAATGATTCTGATCTGAAAGACAAATTGAAAATAGTAATCAAAATTGCTAACACATTCAGACCTTATGGTATGCTTATGTAGAAGATACACAACAATTTAACTGGATAATTTTGGTTTGTAAATACACACATTTTTCAAGACAAAACTAGTGTCTTCCAAATATTTTTCATACATATGAAGCAACCAATTTTATTTAATATCATTTTATTTAATCTCTCATTTGTATCTTTAATTTTCATTAGGAAATGATATATTCTACTGGATAAGGCTGCACTTTATAATTACATGTTCTCATATAAATAAGTCAACACTTTGCTTAGTAATAATTTTATTCATTACAYACTGATATATTAATCAAAGATTTATTTTTTACATTATTACTCATGTCTGATTTGTGAATATGTTTATGGGTTTATGGATTTTGTAAGGAGCATGAAGCCTTGATATATATTTCCACTGTTTTCAAGAACAATTATTGCACATATTTTATAATAATTTGTTTTTAAGTATTTGTACTCACAAGTTACTCAATATTTCTGTACCAAAATGTCTTGGTTATACATGTCATTTAAAATAAACAGAAATGAAATCTTTATAAAACAGTAATGTACCAATGAAGAAAGATTTTAAAAAGTATGTTGGAACTCATCTTATATGCCATACTGTCACCTATGCTCCTATATGGAGATAGATTCCTTTTTTCCTAATGAGGAATGGAGTTGGACAGCATTTTCTAAAATATCAGAACAGTGTATCATTTTTGTTATCATTTAACAAACTAATCAATAGTTCATCATTTATGAGTGATTACCTTTAATATCTATAATTGTATCTCCCTTGCCATTTGTTTTTGATTTTCCTTAAATAATCACCAAGAAGTTATTCCATTCTATTACATATTTTCCAGAAAGTTTGTTGACAACTTTTTAATAGAACTTGTAAAATCACCCTTTGTTGGACTGTTCATTCCTAAAATCTACTTAAACATATTAATGTATTTTTAAATTCTCATAATTTCTTTTACCTGTTTTTGTATTTTTAAAAATATGATTATTTCCCAATTGAAATTAAACATTTACTAATTCTTTAAAAAGTGCAACTTATTAATATTGTAAAATCAATTTCCCAGTCACAAGAAAACTTGTGGCACAGCAGCTAGTTCAAAATGATTGGTGCTTCAATTTTACCCAGCACTAAAGATTATTTGTCCAATTAATTACGAGAACAGAGATACAAACTCAGATTCTCAGGAATAGGTAAGAGAGAGAAGGGCAAAAAATATTGACAATCTTAAACTTCTGAGAGAATTGTAAAATATTTCTATTTTAATTATTTGCAGTCTCTTGCTACTTGCCTTTGACATTATTTCTGTTTTTGCTGTTCTGGAGAAGGTGAAGATAAATAATTTCATTTCTACTGAGTTACTGTGACTCCTACTTTGGGAGACTGGATGTAAGGTAACCTTGAGGAATTGAGACTGGCCAGGSAAGAATAAGGGGTTCTAACAGGCAAGACCCTGGCTTGTGTAAAAACAAGGGGTAATAACCAATGGCCTGTGCTTTCCTCTGTTTGCTCACAGGTAGTTTAACTCCTTGCCTTTACAAGTTTCCTGATCACACCCTGGGTCATGGGTTTCCTGCCCTCCACCAGCCTCTCTTGGCAGAGGACACCACAGTCGCTGAATTCAAGCAAGAACTCAGGCGGAAGAGCAAACTGGTTGAAGAACCAATAGACATGGATTCTCCAGAAATTCGAGAGCTTGAAAAGTTTGCCAATGAATTTAAAGTGAGGAGAATTAAGTTAGGTATGTGTTAAGAACAAGGACTGTTAATATGACAATCCTACTCTGTCACTGTGAAATTTCTAATGCTCTGTTCAAAAGTCTAAGACAATTCTCATTGTACATCTCTACTGCAGATTTCAATTAGTCAAACTATGAAAATCTACAAAAAACATTATTTCCATGTAAATCCTTAATAGCCAAAAAAACGTGTTTTTCTTTAATTTGTTTGTTTGGATTTTTTTGTTGTTGTTGTTTGTTTTTTAAGTAAAGGTACTGTTTTAAAACTTATCTACCTCAAGATTAGTTTGGGAGTGCCCTTTTAATCTATATTTTATGTGAACTTTTGAATAGACCATACATTCACATGATTAAAAATTTCTGTTTACCAATGTTGTTAGTTTCTCCTGTATTTTTCCAGATATCTTGTGCATATATAAATTAGMACATATTCTTTGATGCAGAGTTATTTGGAAGAGTTTTGAGTTTTTTAGAGCTTTTTTCCTTGTATGGATCTGTTGACTTCCATTTTATAAAATATACTACAATGTATTCTACAAAACTTCTTCTGGTATAATTTAGGTTTCTTATCATCTGATGTCAAAAACAATGCCTAACTTTAACAATGCCCAAAGTTCTAACTTTAAATATGCATTTTATACCTATATAAATATATACATAAGAAAAATGTATGATTAAAAATTTTAAATGCTGATTAAAAATTTTACTTGTAATAGATCTTTGTTGAACTAGTCTCCACAGAAATTACACCAAATTTTACTACCACCAATAGTCTATTTTGCCACCCTCACAATATAAGAAAATAGGTGTTAAGTGTTTTGTTTTGTTTTGTTTTTCTTATTTCTTATTGTCTTTAATAGTGTATCCTCAGCATCTAGAACAGTGACAAGAATATAAAGTCAATAATGGTTGAAAAATATGTTATTAATCTTATCTTTCAAAACAAATAAGTAAAAATGACATCTCASGGTATTTGTCCCCACCCTTCTGTTTTTACAATGCTGGCGGTGGGGTGGGGGTGGGGGAGGAGTTGTACATGCTAGGCAAGCTCTCTACCACTGAGCTACATCCCCAATCCCTCTCATTTTAGTTTCATTTCAAATTTCTCCTTTGAGTGAGGCGTATTCTTTTACATATTTAATGCTCATTTGTATTTTGTTTTCTGGTGACAGTCTATTCAGAGCTATTGTTCATTTTCTATTGAAAAGTGTTTTTAACATAACAGCTATAACAATTAATTGTYATTAAAATTCATGAAGTAGTTTATTTTAAAAAGTAGAATGAAATGACAGTTTGAACCGATGAACTTGTGAAATGAATCAGAGAATTTTATAATGATACTTATTGATGGCATCATATGTAGTCACTTTATAGGTATAGGTATATAGCTTTAGGCCCTGAAAATAATATGTAGTTACTATTGTAATAAACACAGCAGTAGAAATCTTTATGACATTYATTTTCAGTCTTCTGTTTGTATTGCCGTGAATGTTTCAAATTACATGTTGATGGTTTATTTTAGCTTGTATTCTAGAAATGTTTGGGACAGTCAATAAGGATCTTTTGCTTGGAGACAGAAGCATTACCAAACAATATAATAAATGTGCTTGGACGTATGCATACAATGTATGATCATAACCTCACTATAGACATATTTTTAGGGAAAGTATACATATTTCTTAGTTTTATTTGGTACTTCACTCATATTTGGAGTTAAAATATCTATGACATATTTTATGCATTATACTTGATATATTAATGGTTTTTATCATATATCATCTGATATTTAATAATCATGATAAAAGATAAGAATATTTTTCTTATAAATTATTTATAATACATCCATCCAACTTGACTAAATATTACAAATGGTAGATGTTCCCATATGAATTTTTTAAAATTTTTTTTTTAGTCGTAGATGGACACAATATCTTTATCTATTTATTTTTATGCGGTGCTGAGGATCAAACCCAGTGCCTCACACATGCCAGGCAGGCACTCTACCACTGAGTGATAGCCCCAGCCCAGCCTCATATAAAATTTTTTGACTTTTAGAAAAAAAGCAATTCATTAATTAACAAGGAATATTTTTTGAAATACTGGACAATCCTATACTGATCCTTACTAAATAATTCTAAATTGTCAAAAATATATTATTTTTAAAAAGTAATAGTTGGCAAAGAAAGATGCACAAATATTTGTGATAATGAACCAAAAGTGATGCTTTTTAAAAAGCTGAAGCTAATGATCTTTATTGCCCTTTCACAGGATACACCCAAACAAACGTTGGGGAAGCCCTGGCAGCTGTGCATGGCTCTGAATTCAGTCAGACAACCATCTGCAGATTTGAAAACCTACAACTCAGTTTTAAAAATGCATGCAAACTAAAAGCAATATTATCAAAATGGCTGGAGGAAGCTGAGCAAGTAGGAGGTACTAAAGCTAAATCCCTGAAGACCGTGCTGAGTTTTAATCTAAAGTATTTACTGCAAGTGGGAGGATTAATGCTAAAGCAAGAGGCTTGAGGTTTTCCTCCCCTTTTCTCTTTGAGATGAAAAGTAAACATCTTGTTACATCACAAAAAGAGACAGGAAGGAAGGGAGGAGTAAAGGAAGGAAGGAGGAAAAGAAGAAAAGAAGAAGGGGAAGAACAGTGCAAAGAAAGTATAAGTCAATTTATTGAAGACAGAATAAGCTATATAAGGAAAACTTTTATATAATGTGACATCAGAACGAAGTGGTAAAATATCTGAACACACCCAGATGTTTTACCTCTGTGCTCCACTGACTTAACAGTACATGAATACCTTTACAACCTAAAATTGGCATATGCAGAGCATTTGTACACACCAGTCTTCCAAATAAATAACATAAGGAATTTCTCAATGAGTAATTTAACATTTTTTACACGTACTAATGTCAATGCTGGATATAGAGCAATATTTGAATATACTTATAGCAATGTTTGAACAAAAGTAAGGTGGGGATATGATTTGCAAAAAAATTATATTTGGAAAGTTACTATTTGTTTCAACTTTTTTAAAAAAATGGAATGTAAAATAAAATGGCAAAGACTGCAAAAATTGAAGACAAAAATGCAAAGTAATTTTATTTTTCATTGCTTCATGAAGAAAATAAGAAATCCAAATATGATAGTTATTTTCTTTTAAATTGACTTTGTAATTATCTCTCTCTTCCACATTATAGCTTTGTACAATGAAAAAGTGGGAGCAAATGAAAGGAAAAGGAAACGGAGAACAACTATAAGGTATTCCTTTGCAATATTATTATAGGGAAAAAAAAGATATTTTACAAATGGAATCATCATTTTAATATAATGTAGACACAACATAACATACATGTAAAATGAATAAAGTTGACTGAAGAAAAAAAGATAGATTATAAAACAATTTAAAAACTTAATAGTGAGCAATAGAGAGCTGGTAATTTTTAACAGTTCATGAAAAATATATAGTTTGATTCAAAAACATTTTAGTTTCAGAAATTTTGGATAAAAACAAAAACCAAATAATCACTTGTAAGAAAGTTCTAAGAGAACTTTTGTAGAAAATGTACTTGCTCTGATAGGACAGTTTCTATCTGACTAAAAATAACAAAACTAGCCATTTCAGTGTATTTCCGTCTTTAACATTGAATATGACATCTTGCATTTCAACCCCAAAAGTTTTCTTGTTTTTTGTAATTTATGTGAGGCACACATATAGAAAATGATAGAAGACAGGTTTTGCTTCCATTGGTTAGTTGTTCACAAGATATTTTGTTTATTAAAAATAACCCAAACAATTTGGAGAAGGAGGGGGATGTTTACAAATGCCTATTGTTCATTTCCTTTTTCAAGATTTTGGTGCCCTCCTGTGGCAATAAATGGAATAAACATAGAAAGGCTGGGACCCTCATTTATTTTTTCCTGTGGCATCAGTAATGCTCTCTGGAATACAATAAACAACTAAATGTTAACAAAATGTATTTTGTATTTACAAGTGTTTAACCTTAGAGTTCTTTTTTCATATCAATATGTAAGAAATTCAACTTGATTTTGTTCTTCCAAAAAATTCACTAAAATCTACATAATCTCACTCTCACCCCTACTGCTCCATCCCAGTATTGCTGCTAAAGATGCTCTGGAGAGACACTTTGGAGAACAGAATAAGCCTTCCTCTCAGGAGATCATGCGGATGGCTGAAGAACTGAATCTTGAGAAAGAAGTAGTAAGAGTTTGGTTTTGCAACCGAAGGCAGAGAGAAAAGAGGGTAAAGACAAGTCTGAATCAAAGTCTATTTTCTGTTTCTAAGGAGCATCTTGAGTGCAGATAAGAGTTCCTATTGTGTGACAGCCATTTTTTCCTTACTATTTTTCATTCTGTTCTCTTTCTCAACAAAAATAGAAATTAGGTACGTGGTTGACTTCAAATTTATTTTACATCAATAACTTATGCAGTTCTGTGTTTTTTAAAAAATTAATTCAACAATTTAAATTATATTATTTTCTTTAAAATAATTATTCTCAGAAGCTACAATGTACATTGTAAACAAAAGATACTAATAGAAAAAAATAATGAGACTGCACACATATATAGACATCAGTTTGTTTTTTTGTTTTAGTTTGAAACTTTTATTAAGACAGGTTATTAGCTTTGTAATTTTTAATTGGTAATATATGTAAGGAATATGATCAGGGAAGAGACAGTTAGAAGATTCATTAACATTGATTAATGAATTGGTTCTGCTGATCAGCAGAGATGAATTTTATTACTCCATGTAGGAATAAATTCAATCAGAACTGATGCCTTTGAATCTAATATTTATGGCACAGAGCCCACATAAGTCCTTCAAAAGAGATGTATAGAAACACAATSTAAAACCTTTTRATTTTCCCCAAACATTGGCTTTTTGATGTTCAGCTACAGAAAATACATGGGCTAGGAGTGTTGCTCAGTGGTAGAACACTTGCCTAGCATAACTGGCTCTGGGTTTGATCCCCAGCACTGCCAATTTTTTTTTTCTGTTTGTGTGTGTGTGTGTGTGTGTGTGTGTGTGTGTGTGTGTGTATATATATATATATATATATATATATATATATATATACACATTTTAAAGCTATACATAATTGAGCCCCAAACCATTAGTCTGTAAGCTGCAACAGGGCAGTGAAGGTATCTGGCTTGTTTGCTGTTATTTCTCGAGTGCTTGGAAGGTGTTTGCTCATAATAGCATGTAATGTTTGTTAACAATGGCTACAAACATGAAGGGTGCTGTMTAATTTAAAAACTAAATCTATTTTTGAGATCTCACAATCCTRAACATCATCAGGGATCCTATAAAAAAGACAGTCAATTGGTTAGAATCTGATTTATTATTAATAACAAAGATTGATATTTGAGCTTTTCAATTTAAGTAATTGTATCTCAAAGAAGACATTTTTTTAACTTTTAAAAATAAACTTCTTTGAACTTGCAAGTAGAAGCAAACTGTACTATAATATAAATCTAGAATAGTCCATTTTTGGGGCATTTTGAATGTCTGCTGGCAATGTTACCTAACTTATTTTATATAACAATCTGGAAATTGTTGACATAGAATGCTTACTTAATAAATTATTCTGTACAGCCTCCTATTTTTATATTATTAATCACTTAGAATAAGATCCTTTTATAGCTCATATATGTATGTGCACAAATAATCCACAACCTTAATCTTACTAATAAACATAGATATGTTACCAAGAAGTTTTTGCATTTTAATTATAGATCTGCTGGTAACTTATGATCCAACCAAGCTGAAGCACACATTTAGCACCTAATAAGTGTTAGATTTTATACTTTTATTCAAGAGTAAATTCCAAATTATTCAGCCCTAAAGGTRTTTTCTTTATAGGTAACTCAGTATTTTACTGTCACCTATGTAAAAACCACATAGAGGAAGAGATTCTATAGTTTTCAAAAGAATCATCATATGTATATATGAACACATACATACATGCAAAATTACATATATGTACTTTGAAAACTTAAAATAGAAACAATATAATGCAATATGAAACTAGATCAATGTTTTTGCATTTTAATTATAGATCTGCTGGTAATATTTAACATGACTTACTTTATATAATATAAACAAGATTTTATACACATCCACCCACACCCACTTTCTAATCATAAATTCATCCATAAGATCATACTTTTCAAATTAAGGTAAAACCAGCACTGTGAACTAATTTTTACCACTCCCCCTGCAAAAAAAAAAAAAAAAAAAGCAATTATCTTGAAGGAATACTTGGTATGTCTTTAGGAATTCAGTGCATTCATCCATTAAAATAGAAAGGTCTGTTGATTATGCTGATACATTAAGCTTTACTTAGAGATGGTTGACAAACTGATTCATGTAACTTTCCATTTTTTGGAAAGGATTTATCTACTCAAAGAAATGTTTTTAGCATTGGGGGATGGGAAGGTGTGTGCATTTCAAGTCCTTGAGGGACCATGGAAGGTATTTTGGGGAGTCTGAAATCAGACTTCACAATACTTAGGTTTGCTTTTTTAAAAATTTTTTTATGTGTTGTTTTTAGTTATACATGACAGGAACTCAATTCAATTGACTCAAGGAACTAGGGTTAGAAGAATGGCTGATAGAGAAGATATAAGAAAGCTGATCTTTTTCTGCAGCTGAGAAACTTTTCTGTGCAGAGTAGCAGCATCAAAGAAGAAAGTCACTCCTTTTCATACTGGGACAAATCTTGTTTTGACATAGAAGTATCTAAAATAGTGGAATATATTTAAATTAGGTCCACAAGCATCAGGCTAGAAGTGGGGCAAGTGGATGTAGGGAATGTACTTTTGGCCAAAGGGGGAATACAGGCTCCTATTGGCATTCAAATGGGAGTAACAAAATATAAAATCACAGTGTGGGTCAAATAACACAAAGCTCATAGATGGCTGGCTTCCTACTCCCATTCTATAGTGTCAAAATCCTGAGGCCCTTTCCACTAGCTCCTGCCATAACCAAGCACTCATCTTAAGAGTATAAAGTACAGTCTGTGTAACACAATCATCCTGACAGATGGTCATTTTGTTTCCTAATACCAGGTGTTATCATCACGTGTACTGACATTTTCATACCCCCACATTCCAGTTCTCTGGTACTCTCAAATCTCCTCCATCCATGACATTTACATCTGGTAACAAAAATGTGACATTGCACTGCCTCCCATTTGGTACCAGAGATTTTGCTGTTATTATTCTGCCCTCTCTATTGGCAACCCCTTGCAGCTTGAATATAAATGTTAAAAAAAAAAAAATCCTATTACCAAGTTACAGAGAACAGGGTTTAAAAAATAAATAAATAATCAACATTCATTAAGCTCAATCTATAAAAAACATCGTGCTCCTCAAAGGTCCAAAAGGAACTTCCAATATTTCGTAAAAGATAGAGTAACATTACAAATTTATAGTGATCGTAAATATGCCACTCAAAGCATTTTATATATGTAGCCAAGTCAGAATGAGTATACTGTTTTGAGTCCAAAATTCTGTGGTATCCACATTTAACAGAAATGAAAGCAATTGCAAGAATTATGAGCTTAAATATAAAACTTAAAATTTAGTCCTTGGAAACTCCAGTAAGAGATTATCAGAATAATTTAACATGAAACCACCACTTCTTAGGCTTACTCCATTCACAAACATCAATCCTGTACCAAATGCTAATTCTTAAAAAGACAATTTGTTTTGTTGTGAAAATGTTATGTAGCAGAGTTTTCCACTTTCCTTCCAAGAAAATAATAAAAAGCACTCTTTTGAAAATTACCAAACATCATAAGAATTCTAATTTTAGCAGAAGCCAAAAACAGAGTAAAAGAGATTTTTTTAAAAAAAGGATAACAGTAATAAATCTTTATTCAGTTTTTTTTAACAAAATAGTTTAAAAAAACCAAAAGCCCCCACATGTAAACAAGAAATTAAAGTTAAATGGCATTATTATGTACATTCAAGAAACAAAACATGTTCTGGGTCAACATTCCATAATCCAGTAAATTATTTTGACTCATCTCTCTTCAGGGAAATTGTGAATATGTTCTTAGTAAACACAGTATGATTGATGGATTCTAAACTTAGATGGCTTGGTTTTYTGTTCCTTCCACAATCCACACATTACATGTATACTAGTCCTAAAATGTGACTTTGCCAACATCAGGCCAAATGTCCACCACCCCAAATCCACCAAGTTATACATAAACAACTCCAGAGTTTTTGTGGTAGGATGTGTCAGAATCCATATATTGTAACATTATTTTCAAAACTAACTAAATTGAAAATTCTAACTATTGTTCTCTTATTCTCTGTATACATAAAATACCATAGCAATTACACCTCAGAGAATGCTAACATAGTAATACACACATAGGCAATCATTTCTGACAAAGTTGTTTATTTACCACCAACCCACCCAAAAAAAGTTAAGATTTTATTTTAAAAGTTTAGGTCAAGTATWGTCATAGTAGTTGTACAGTTGTACTTCATTAAGAATAATGCCTTCAATTTAGAGTATACATTAGAATATACATTAATTCAATTTAAATTAAACAGAAATTAAGTTACATAGAGGAAATCTCAGTTCTTGGAAGAAAGACCAAAATATACTATGGATTACTATGAAGCATTATGAATTCAGTGTCTTTGTTTCTATTATATTTAATTCACTTTCATAAGGTTTAGAAGAGAGCCTGGAAAACTGTTACAAGAGGCCTCAATTTTTAGTTTAAAATGAAATTCTTTTCTGCCAGGTAAAATAATTTAAAGATGAGCACAATATGTTTGTGCTGTTTAAGGCAGGTCCCAAGCACATTTTGAAAGGTAATAAACTTACCAACTAGAATGTTCTCCCAAAGGAAAAAAAAAAAGGAAAGAAAACCTCATGGCAGTTTTAAGACAGATGTTGAAACAGCACTGTTCTTTTTGATCATTTAAAAATAATTTGGCAGATGAACTGCCTATGGTCATAACACATAATCATTTACAAAGGACAAGCAACAGATACAGAATTAACGATATACATTTAATATTTTTACAAGTCTCTTTCTTAAGTTGGTGCCTAGTGGCATTTAACAAGAATTTTGTATTCAGTGTAAAAAGATTTAGAACACAAACAGACACTAAGTAATAGTTATAATTTCTCTATGCCATGCAGAAAAGAAATCCAGTTTTACACATCATCACTCCTAAATAGTTCTAATTAAAATTCAAACTGTTTCCATTTTTGCATCATTGTTATTCTTTGGCAAGACTCAAAATGGCCATGGGTTAGGAAACAACTGTTCACTCATGGTTTTCATTTTTGCAAAATAAATGTGTTTTTGTAAAAAGAATCTGCACTGTGCTTGCTTTATACTAAATCAGTACACAAAAATATCATGACTTTTTGATTAATCTACTCCTAAGGCTTTGAGTTGCCGTTCAATCTCTTCATCGGAGATTGTAGCCTTTGAAGTAGAGGCAGATGGTAAACTTCGGGCAGCTGATGGAGCTTTGGCCATCTATAATAAAGAAACAAAAAGAGAAAAAAAATTTTTCATTTGCAAACACTTGGGTAAGAACATAAAGGATAAGCTGCAAAGTAATTTACTTTTGAAGCAAATATAAAAACATGTTAACACTAATGGACAACCTAAAACAATGAACAAAAGTGGCCAAAACTATTTTCATCTAAAAAAAAAAGATGTTCATACCTTTCCAGAGATTTCAATTCCAATTTCATCAAGAACTTGATTCACAATATCCTGGCTTTCTTCTTCCTCATCAGAGCCATCAAAGATGTCATCAAGTGTGTCGTTGACTTGGTGGAGGGAGGGGGAATAAAACAAAGCTGTTACTTTCAAACAGATTTCAGGACATTTTCACATTTTTAGAAGATAGTCCAACTATGTGTACATATTTTTTACATTACAGAAGGCAAATTTAGGTCAACCAATGAAAGACAAAAGTCATTTTGAAATGTCAGTGAAGTATACTGATTAACACATTTCTAAACCACTAAATTTAGAATAATGTTCATATCTAGAAAAATTATCCTATAATGAAATAGTTCTACTCTGATTTTTTAAAAAATCTTATCTTTAGGGCTGGTGACATAGCATAGTGGTAGATTGCTTGCCTAATACATGAAGGCCCTAGCATGGCAAAAAAGAAAAAAAATAATAAAAACAATTATATCTTTAAACAAAACCCAGTGAGATTCACAAGGCTTAAGGTCTTTAAATATGATCCAAAAATTGTGAGCTGCTAGCTGTTAAACCTAACCAGGAAAAAATATACAAGAATCAAATAACCTGCTAGTATGTGGGTAATAATTACTCTTTTATACCTATATCATATTTTTCTATTTTTTAAGTATACTCTCAAGATACAGGCAGAATATTCTAATAGGGTCAAAGGTTCAATAGTTTACTGAATTTGTCCAAAGAATAATGTCCAATTTAACATTTCAAAATTATTACTGCTGTAATCCTTGATTTTTTTTCCCTTCCCTGCCTAARATATTTATCAAAAGCCTTCTACATAGAGGGCAGCATGCTGAGTTGAGGGGAAGGAATGTTTAAAGTCCTGGGATTATGTCTCATTTATCTTTGACACTGGCATGTAGTACAAATACAATGGAAAACTGGAGAAAAATAAAGATCTTAGGTAGTTTATTCTTGAGTAGGAAACAAAATACATTATAGTACATGGAGAAATAGATGCTTATATAGTTTCAGAGGGAAACTATATACATTCAGCTAAAAGGAATACGTGAATGACCATCTTAGAAGCATGCCTAAGGTTTGACCAAAAAGAGATGCAGACATGTGAAGCAGTCAGAACACATACAAAGAAGAGTAAACTTTTCAGTTTGATTGGGATTCAAGGTACATGAATAGAAAAGGGCAAGATGAAAAATATTAAAGTGGTGGGCCTCTAATAGTACCTCCCCTGAATAGAGGAAAGACAGGTAGTGTAGGCTGATCTCCTTGAAACCACCTTAATAAGTGGCTCTTGGTAAAAGACAAAATATCTTCTACTGAAACAATCCTCGTCTACTGAAACAATGCTCATAGCAGAATGTCCTCTAGGATAGTAATAGCAACAAACCTACAACCTGTGGGCTTATGATCCATGGATCCTGGAAAATGCCATATGACCATTAAACATCTGGGGAATTAACATGTTGGAGTTATTTCATAATCTAAATGCTCCTCTTCAACACAGGATGATAAGCAATTTTATCTGCTGTATTATCTATTATTCTATATGATTACTGATCAGAGATCAGTCTGAGATAGGAAAAATAGATACAGAGAATCATTTATGATTCCAAATCTTCTCCCTGCTTGGCCTATATTACTCTCAGCTGCTTATATCCTTGACATCAATAATAAAGTTTGATACTGGTTATGATTTCTGGCCTGTATGAACATGATTTGAAAAGCTGATTTTTTTGTGTGTGTTAATTCAACAGTATAAAATTGGATAAGGCTCAAAAGCTAATGGATAAGAAAAAAAATCATAGACTATCATCTCTGAAGAAACAGAGTGAACATTTTTAAGACATGAATTAGTACCAGTTGTTCCTTTCAGTATCCATTCAAATTTTGGGAAAAGGTATTTTACTTCTCTAGAGTTCAATATTGTCACTGGCAAAATAAAAGAACTTCACTGGAAAATTGGTTTTGATTTATGATTTATTATTTTGAGGGTGTTACTTTGTGATAAAAAGGAAGTCATTGAAAGAATCTGTCAAGCCTACACTAGAGGTAAACTTCTGTGCTACCTGGATGGTGGGAAGTAATAGGGGATGGGAAGCCCAGGTCTGAGTTTTAAGGGCCTGAATAAAGAAATGTTTGAGAAATAATGAAAAAAGGGATACATGAGAACAAACACAGAAGTATAACCAGGGATTAACAGAGAAGAATCCTTTCAGAAAAGGCATGACAAAACTAATCAAAGATATAATGAAGATTTCCCAAAGACCTTGTTTGTAAAACTTGAATGTGGACAACTTTTGGAACAACAGAGCAATAAATTCTCATTCAAAAAAGATATATTCATTTCCACTTTCAATGTATCCTTGGTGAAAATTTTGTTAATGTACTTTATTTACTAATCTACTGAAAAAACAACCATAAATTACTGCTTTACTTTGTACTGATTTTCAAAGTACTAAAATACTAATGGAAACAACTGTGATAGATACGATAGATAAATAAGGGCTTGATTCTTTTCATTATAGCTTAATGGAAAAGTTAATTCCTCTAAGAGTTGCTCAGACCTGTGTCATCACTGGAAATCACATGCAAATTTGTTAGATACTATGATCATTATATAAATGATAATTCTCTCAGTCATTAGACAATTACTAAAATATTTCAAGAGCCTTGAAAAAAAATTACATTTTCAAAGTAAAGGCATGAAGTACAAAATAAAAAAAGGTCTGGACCTATCAAAGAYACACATACAGTATCATTATACCCTTGAAAAAATTTGATGCTCTGGAAAAAAATCCTACAGCAACAATGAATATGAAAACCCTAGCAATTTAAATAGATACTGATTTATACATCAAATGCTGTCAAACTAAAATGCTGGCAGATATGCAGAGCCAAACCAGCATATCCCTACATAGTTGTAAAATCACCAAGAAGTATTTTTCCAAAACAGTGGTGCACATTTTTGACATATGAATAATGATTCAATATTGACCAGGGAGTTGTAAGGAGTTACTCATCCATTTTTGACAAAATAAAATTGGTGTGGTCTTTCTGTGAAGAATTTGGTACTATAAACCAATTGCCTCATAAAGCTTAGTCAATACTCTTAAGAAGATAAAAAAAAACACATATATACACACATATACACTTACAAAGAAGAAAACTAAATATAAATGACATTCTGTGAAAGAAAAGAAAAAAAAACGGTTCCATTAATTCTACCTCTAATACATATATCTCTTTTATAGTATGACAGAATTTATATAATTCTGAAACTACCTAACTTACCCAACACTTATTTTATTCACAATTTTTTGGGTACGATAATCAATAAAGTAAGACTGTTAAAGCCAATATATAATAGAAATATGGTCTGACATCTTATATTTATCCCTCAGTTATACAGTAAGAGTTTTGTGCCTTGAACACTGCCAATATAAATGTATATTGAAGTTATAAAAATAAACATTTATATAGTTGCTCTATCATTCCTTGTTTCCTCATTTGTGCCTTCATGTATGAGAATATGAGACTGCTAGCAAATGCAYCGGGCTAATTCAAAGATGAGAAAATTGTACATTTCATCATAACTYCTGAAACTTACTCATTTCTTCAGTCATTTCCATTTTCATGTTTTCCTTCTGGAAATTCTGCATTGTTTGTAATGTCTTTTGTGGATCCATTTTCTTGTTAACTGCCTGCATTGTCTGTAAATATATAAAAAGATTAATGYTAGCTACACAATTATGAAATTTTTACCATCGAGTGCCAGGCCACTGTGATACATGTCTGTAATCCCAGTGACTTGGAAGRCTGAGGCTGAAGGATCACAAGTTCAAGGCCAGCCTCAGCAATTTAGTGAAGTGAGGCCCTAAGCAATTTGGTGAGACCCTGTCTCAAAACAACAACAACAACAAMAAMAAAAAACAGTTGGGGTTGTAGCTCAGTGGTAAAGCACCTCTAGTTTTTTGTTTTGTTTTGTTTTCTTTTTTAAGAGAGATAGAGAGAGAATTTCTTAATATTTATTTTTTAGTTTTCGGCRGACACAACATCTTTAGTATGTGGTGCTGAGGATCGAACCCGGGCCACACGCATGCCAGGTGAGCGCGCTACCGCTTGAGCCACATCCCCAGCCCAGCACCTCTAGTTTTAATCCACAGTACCAAAAAAGAAAATTTTTACCATGAAATAAATCTAGGGGAAGCACATCACACAATCACATATACATAGGCTTTTAAAAAATACATACTCTGACATTCTAAAACACAGTGTTAATTATTCTAGAAAAAAACGAAATAGTCATTTAAAAACCACATGTTTAACATCTACATAATAAAGACCAGTGCAAACTACTTCATCTGAATAGCAGGCAAAAATTATATAGCAAAAAAATTATCAATATAAAACTTATTTCTATTCTAAAGGGAAAACTAAATTGACCTGTTACATGGTGTTGTGGTTTAGATGTGGTGTCCTCATCCACAAAAGCTCACATGTGAGACAATGCAAGAAGCTTCAGAGAAAAAGTGATTGGGTTGTGAGAGTCTTAATCCAATCAATGAATTAATCCCTTGGTAGGGGTTAACTGAGTGATAACTGAAGGAGTAGGGTATCACTGGAAAGGTGGGAATTGGGGGGTGGCTATGGCATATATATTTTGTATCTGGAGAATGGAGACTCACTTTTTCTGCTTCCTGATAACCATGGCATGAGCTGCTTCCGTCTGCCACCCTCTCCCACCATGATGTTCAGCCTCACCTCAAGCCCAGAGGAATGGAGCCAGCTTTCTATGGGCTAAGACCTCTTAAACTGTGAGCCCCCAAATAAACTTTTTCTCCTCTAAAGTTGTTCTGGTTAGATCCTTTAGTCACAGCAGTGAAAAACATGTGGCAAGTAGGTCATATTTAAATTTAAAAGAATTTTGAAGTTTAATTATAATTTTTCTTAAAATTTTCAATGTGTAAAAGGATTAGAGGTTATACTAGCATAGCTACTYAGGCTATTAATACACTTTAAACCATAAATAATTATGAAAAATTGTTTTGCAAAAATATGTAAAAAAAATCTTGTATATACTTAATAACTTCATTTCATTAAAAGAGGTTATTCTTGGGCATGGTGGTGCAGGTCTGTAATCCCAGTGGCTTGGGAGGCTAAGGCAGRGAGATTGAGAGGTAAGCACTCAGCAAGACCCTGTCTCTAAATAAAATATAAAAATGACCGGGGATGTGGCTCAGTGGTTAAGCCCCTATGGGTTCAGGATTCAATCCTAGGTACCAAAAAAAAAAAAAAAAAAGAGAGAGAGAGAGAGAGAAAGAGAGAGAGATTACTTTCTTGCATAGTCACAATTTATATATGATGCACTATATATGCATGAATATATATGTATTTTATTCATAGTTAATCTGGTATATTAAAAGATTATTATACACTGACAATATACTGGTATCAAATATATAAAGAAAAAAACAGTCTTTTCTCACACAATCTCTACTCATGCTGTGCCAATGTAATCTTTCATCAACATGCCACTGCACTCGACTCCTCCAGTGCCCCACTGCCTCCTACACCTAACTCTCCAAAACCTTTTCATTGCTCTTAGTGTTAAAAGTCAAATTCCATAACTTACCAAAGAGACCCATCATCAGCTGCAATCTATTTAACAAGAGGTCTGATTTGCTACCATTGTCTTACAGGCATACACTGATCTTTTATTTCCTTAACTACTATGCTCTCTTCTGCCACAAGACCTTTACTTTTCCCTCACCTGGAGTGCTCCTCTCCACCTGCTTCACAATCAACACTTCACACTGCAGTTAGAAGCTACTTTCATAAAGRAACAGCCACTGACACCCAAGATTAGAACAGTCTTGTTAAAACCCAGCACTACAGACAAAATTTTACATTTGTTGGTTTAAATTATATTATTTTAATTGCAACTTACATTATTGTGGTAAATAATGCTAATAACATTAATGAGGAGGATGGTGATAGAGTAGCTAATGCCTGCATAAGTAAGCCAGACACTGTTCTAAGCATTTTACATACAATAATATTAAAATTAAATGATATTTTTGCTACGTCACAGAGAATCAAGGCACAGAAAAGCTAAATAATATCCCCAAGATCACACAGTAACTAAGTGAAATGAGATTTGAACTAAGCAGAGCTTTCCTTCTACCTCTTAAATGTGCTACCGCTTATATAGACATTAAGCTCTACGAAGGTTAAGCCCTTGCCAGGTTTTACTTTCCATTTCATGCCCACTATCTAGTGTAGTGGCCACATAGAGAACCTAAACAATATTTGGTAAGTTAACACATTTCTAAGATATTTAAGTGAGAATTCCAACTGAGACATCTCTACATGGAAAAACTATATTAAATATGTTTTCCTAGTCTATTAGTTACAGAAAATTAAAAAATGAGTAATTGCTCCCCCCTAACACTACTGCCTACCTAAGTGATCTCCAAAATGATCTTTCCCCAAAATCAAACAGATATTAACTGTCAATCTGTAAGGCCAAAAAGAAACAAAAGTTCTGAAGTTTTGCCCTTAACTACAAACTTTTGATTGTAAAATGACTAAAATCCATCAAGAGTAAGTTAACTGAGAAACAAAACTTATGCTGAAACTTTCTCTATTTTTTACAGAATGTGTTACTACTACACTTTTTATACCTCATAAAATAGATGCATTCTGTTGACATGTTTCTCGTAGTCTAAGCAGAAATCACAATTGATTTTTGTTATTTGTGGAATACATATGTATAAATTTTTCTAGTTGCTAAAATTTATTTGTAACTTCACATCAATATTTACAAAGCTTTAATATGGTGACATGGGCAGAGAGACAAATTAAACTGAGTCACCCAACAGGCAATGTACTACCTTCTTGTCTCAGCTKTCATACTGTAAATCAGTATACCTGTGGCAATCTCTTTAGTAATACATTTTTCTCATTTTTTTTGCTTATTATTGGTGATTTTGCACTTTAAAAAAGTCCCTAAGCATAGTACTAAAGTGCTGTCTAATGTTCCTAAGTGAAAGAAGGTACAGTGTGCCTTACAGAGAAAACATAAGGTAGATAAGCTTCATTTATGCATGAGGCATAGTGCTATTGTCACTATGTATTAATAAATTGACAATATATATTAAATATGGTGTCTTTAAACAGAAACACACATAAAATAAGGCTGGGTATAGATTAGTCAATGCAAATGTTGTGAACAAAAGCCTCACATGAAGCTGTCCACAATGTTCCCCATAAGAGCAATAGTGCAATATTTGCTATTTCATTATTCCCGAATTCACAGACTATAACTACTGTTAATAAAGAGATTCCACTACACATATCATTTTCATAATATATACCTCATAATTTTCTCTGGATTTTTTCCCTTTGGCTCTTTATATTCATACGCCCCCTTACCTACATCTAACACCTCATAATTCCTTTAAGACTAGGTATTTCACAAAGTCCTTTGGACCATCCTACTCAAAGATCTGTGCAGTTCAACAAAGCTTCATACAGACTAATGTATGGCAGCAAGTTTCCTATCAGATATACCTTATGCTTCCCCAAGCGGAACTGCAAAGTCTGCAAAAGCAAAGTCTTTTTATAAAACCATTTTTGATTACTCACAGTGTTTGATACATATCAAGGACATTACTTATTAAATGATTATATACTAAGATTTTAAACTCTACAACAAAAGCCATATGTGTGTGTTAATATATATGCTATATTACATATATATAGTTAAAATATAAAACTCCTGAAAAAACATTATTTGATAAATCCTTTTGACACTATCCATATATCCATCTAATACATTCATAAAAGTGAATCAAGAAGAAATTATTACTAGAAAGTAGTAAAAAATGATAACTTAATGAAATGAGAATCCCAATGATCTGATAATTTAATTTTTTTCTAAGTTGTAGATGGACACAATTTCTTTATTTACTTATTTATTTTTATGTGGTGCTGAGGATCAAAACCAGTGCCTCACACATGGGAGGCAAGAACTCTACCACTGAGCTACAACCCCAGCCTCAAGATCTGACAATTGTGAAAAAAAGTTAACACCGCTTTAAGGAAATATTATAAACTTAGAAACTACATGTGATCTTGGGAAAGCGGAAATGTCTTTATTTTATATTAAAACATACCAACAAAGAATACAGAGTAATTACTAAGGCCTAGAATTCTGTACCACACACACACACACACACACACATCCCAGAAGGTGCTTGGAAATCTGATTTGAATATTAACATTTACATATCTTTGATAGAATTTGGACACAAAGCCTCCCACTGACCTTTGCTGTGGTAGACATTGCTCCGGCCATCTTCATCTGGGAATTCATCACTTTCGTTTGTGTGGACATAGAAGTGACCTTTGAACTTACAGCAAAAGTTCTTGTTTTCTGTTTCCGTAGATGTACAAGCTGTTTGGCTAAAACCCTGCAAGCTTCTTTATTACCAATCTTTGCCATTTTCTTAATTTCTAATTCCTAAAAGGGAAAAGTAAGAGGAGGGAAATAAAATCATCAAGGGGTAGTTCTGAATGATTCATTTCAGAAGAAAAGAGCTATAATAAGTWATAGATTATTTTTCCCTAAAAGGAAGAGGTTGTCATAAAAGTCATAGAGAGGAAAAGTAATTTGAGAGGGCTATTTATTCCATATCTATATGTTCACATGGGAAGGGGAGAACTAGAGCCTCCATCTATGAATACAAAGCAAGTCTACAAAACAGGAGATACATAGAACACAGAAAAAAATGTTTTAAAAATGTCTAAAAGTAGGTAGGCAGATATTGTGGTGACTGATTTAAAGATAATAATATAGTAATAATATAGATAACTGCACTAAATGAAACAGTCCATCTTATACATCAAAAACAGTCCATCTTATACATTAAAAGGGCAAGTGTCAGATTAGATAGATAAGTTAATCCAATTACATGCTACCTCAAGAAACCAACTTTAAATATAAAAGCAAATTTGGATTAAAAAGTGGAAAAATAAGGGGCTGGGGATGTGGCTCAAGCGGTAGCGCACTCGCCTGGCATGTGTGCGGCCCGGGTTCGATCCTCAGCACCACATACAAAGATGTCGTGTCCGCCGAAAACTAAAAAATAAATATTAAAAAACTTAACTCTCTCTCTCTCCCCTCTCTCACTCTCTTTTAAAAAAAAAAAAAAAAAAGTGGAAAAATAAAAATTATATAAATATTTACACAAGTTTGCCAATCTGGATGACTATAATTAATACAAAACAAATACACTTGAGAACAAGGAATATTATCAGAAATTTTAAAAAAGCATTTCATTTTAATAAAGGAAAAAAATACAGATCTCAAGGCAATCATAAATGCATATGCACCTAATTAACAGTGCTTGAAAATACAGGAAGCAAAACTAACAGGATTTAAAGAAGAAACAAACACAAATATCGTAAGAGATATCATTATCTCCTCTCTCAAGTACATAGCTATAATTGTTAAAATTATAGTAGTCCCCCCTTATCCACAGGAGCATTACAGATGTCTTGATCACAGTATTCCTCCCTTAGCTGTGGTTTCACTTTCCTTTGTTTTGGTTATCCATGATGAACTGTGATCTGAAAGTATTAAAGGAAAATTCCAAAAACATGATTCATCAGTTTCAAATTGTACACTGTGTACAATTAAAATAGTTCTCAGGAAATTTATAGCATTATAGCTTATATTTGAAAAACATGAATTCAAAGTAACAAAAAAAGGAAATACATAAATAGGAAAGAAATTATAAGCTAGGAAAGAAAAAATCAGTACAGAAAAATCAGTGAAAGCAAAAATTATTTTTCTTTTTTACAAGATTAACCAAAATGATAAACCATGAGCTAAACTATACCCAAAGGACTTAAAATCAGCATACTAGAGTAATGCAACCACATCAATGCTTATAACAGCTAAATTCACAATAGGTAAACTGTGGAAGCAACCTAGATACCCTTCAATAAATAAATGGATAAAGAAAGTGGAGAATAAAATTATGGCATTTACAGGTAAGTAGACAGAACTGGAGAATATCATGCTAAGTGAAGTAAGCCAATCCCCAAATTCCAAAGGCCGAATGTTCTCTCTGATAAGTGGATGCTGATCCATAATGGGGGAGGGCATAGGAAAAATGGAGGAACTTTGATTGGGCAAAGGGGACGAAGAAGAGGTGAGGGCTATGGGGGCAGGAAAGATGGTGAAATGTGATRTACATTATTATCATAGGTAYATGTATGACTGCACATATGATGTGATGCTACATCGTGTACAAACAGAAATGAAAAATTGTGCTGCAACTATGTACAATGAATCAGCATTCTGTGTACAATCAACAGCATTCTGCTGTTGTATATGCCTAATTAAAATAAATAAATTTTTTAAAAATACCACTGGAAATAAAAAGAAATCTCATGAAATCTACAAAAGGGCTACAAGAATAAATGAGCTCAGGAAGGCTATGGGATTCAAAACGAACACACAACAATTTAATGTGTCTGTATATATACTAGTGAAAAATGTCAGAAATTAAATTTGTTCTTAAAAATGATAAAAAATTAAAATTTAGCAAACACTGAGATATTTAGGGATAAATATGAAAAATGAAGTACAAGACCTATACTTAACAGTACAAACCACTGCTGAGAAAAACTAAAGATTTAAATAAATGCAGACATAAAATATTCATGGATTGGAAGACTTATTATTGKTAAAATGTTAATTCTTCCCAAGGGTTTACRTATTTAATGTAATTCCAATCAAAATCTAATTGTTTTATATTTCCATATTTAGGTTTACTCTAAAGTTCATGTGGAAATATAAGCACCTAAAATAGCCTAAACAATTATATAAAAAAGAAATACAAAGTCGAATGATTAACATTGTTAAACTTGAAAACTTACCATCAAAAATATTAGTAAAAACAGTGTGGTATTGACTTACATATAGTCAGATAGTTCAATGAAACAGCATAGAGCCCTGAGATGCCCCTACATGCTTGGACATGATTTTCAATAAAAATGATAAGGGAAAGATTTCAGGAACAAATCATGTTGGAACAACTCAAGTTTCACATGCAAAAAAACAAAAACAAAAAACTTTGAACCTTATTTGACACCAAGGTGAAGTTTAATTCAATATGGTTCCCAGTTTTAAATGTAAAAACTAAAACTATGATAATTCTAAGGGACACATGAGAGAAAGTATTAGTGCCTTTGKGTTAGGCAAAGATTTCATAAGACACTAGAAGCACTAGTCAAAGAAGAAAATAATAATAAAATACTTTGGTTCCCCCCAAACATACAGGAAAATGAAGTAAAAGACCAGAAACTTATTTCCAAAATATGCATTGAATAAAGCATTTATATCCACAATATATACAGAACTACCACAACTGAATAATAAGAAAACACCTAGATGAAAAAACATGGGTAAAATAAAGTACTTGAAYAGGAGCTTTCACAAAGAAGATAAATATATGACAAAAAAGTACATAAAAAGATACTGAGCATCATTTGTGAATTAGGAAATGTGTTCCTACCAGAAAATTGTGATTCTCCTACACTGTTAATGGAAAGAGAAAATATTAGAGGTACTTTGCAAAATAGTTAAACATATATTTATCATATGACCCAATAAAAACTCATTCTTAAAAAACCCCCCATGAAAATAAATATTTACACAAAACTTCATTTGACTGTATATAGCAACTTTATTCAAAACAACCTAAAACCCGGGAAAACCTCAAATGTCCATAGGCCAACAAATGGATAAACAAACTGAAAAATATCCACATAATGGATTAACACTCATGAATAACAAATAATTAATTCTGATACATGTAACAATATTAATCCCTCAAAACGATTATGCTGAAAATAGCCATAAGAGTTCAGATAGGATTCCATTTTTATAAATTTTTAGAAAAATAAATTAATCTACAGTGACAAATCAGTATTTGCCTCACTGAGGAAAAAGAGGGAGGGATGTGCAAAAGGTATTTCAAAAGGTATAAGAAAACTTTTGAGGACAATGGCTCTGTTCATTACATAAACTGCAGTAATGTTTTCAGGTGTTAATACTTATATCAAAACATATCAAACTGTACCTTTTAAATATGTACAGTTTATTGCATGTCAATTATACTCTCAATAAAAACTGCTTTATAGAAAAACATCTGAAGCAATATACATTTAGAAACATCAATAATATAAATGTAACTTATAAAAAATGTTATTCACTGCCACAAACACAGTGATCTTTAAAATAATATAAGACACCTCTGAATTAATTTAACTTTTCTATAACTCTCTTGTTTTTTTGTGACAATTTTATATTTGCAGTTAACTAAAAAGAAGGTAATTCTATTTGAGAAGCATTTTTTGATTTTCACAAACTGAGGAATAATCTGATTCTATATTCAGAAGAATACACAGAATTGTGATGAAAGCAGAACAYAATGAACGTAAGCAGAAAATGCAGGAAAGCATTAAATGTCATTTCTAAGTGAAGTAAATCACTTACCACCTGCCATGTGCTTTTTTCCTGGTTAGCTAATGATTCTGAMACCAATTTCCAAATTTGTTTGAAAAGTTAAACTGAAATTTAATGTTCTACTTACCAGCTGTTTTTCCTGCTTCTCTAAAGCTGCTCGATCTCTGATTATAGCCCTCTGTGTACCTCGTAACTCACGATTCTGTTCCTTTATTACATCTATGAGAAGCACACACACACACACACACAAAGCAAATTTATCATTATACAATTTACTTCGTTAAAATACTGGACTAAGAAATTGTAATAGGAAAAAAAAAAAGCCTTGCTTTACTAGATGTTAAAAATTTTTTCCTTCAATTTAATACACTAAAAATTACTGAAATAGTAAACCATGGATTATAAATACTGATTATAAAGAATTGACAGAAGATAAATGGAAATATGATAGTCTGAGGTTTAACCACAAGTACATATTACATCAAAATGAACTATTCCCTTTTTTAATTAGTACATGATTTTATATGGTAGATACATATCACACACACACAAACCATCTCTCCTACTCCAGTGCTATAGGAATTTCAGAAAGAAAGGCATGTCTCATATTTTATTGCCTTTTTTTTTCCTACAGTAAGTCACAACATAATGAAACCTTTTAATGAGGCAGATGTGGATTTGCATCACACCTCTATCACTTTATTATACAATTAATTATATCTTTAGCTAACAAATTTAGCTAACACTCTAAAACTTTCATTTTGTTAATAAAATAGGGATTGTTTTAAGGAGTAAATAATTCACAAAATGCCCTGATATACTGTTATGTGTCCACTCAATCATAATCTCTTTTTAACTTACCTCAATACATTTGAATTCTTTATTTCCACTTTTGGTAAAATTGACATATAACCTAGGATTGATGTGCTATATTTGGGTTATATAACAGCAATATCTTAAAAGGAACACAATGCCACTGTTAATTTTGCCAACATTGATTTCTTATTGTTGGGAATCTTATTAAGGGTTTCACTCATATTACAAATCTGATGTTCAAAATGTTATAGAGTTGATTTTTGCACTATTTTACATATAACAAATTGAGTGTTAGGAAAGTTAAATAACTTGCCAACATCCCATAGGTGGTAAAAGTGATGACATCACATTTGGACTCAAAGCATTCTGTCTCTTGAACCAGTGATATTATCCACTTCACTGGAGCATCTTTTCAATAGAGATAGATTAAAAATAACAAAAACAACAAAAGAACAGTCTCTTAAAATGACATAACTGGTCATCCACATGGTAAAGAACACCCCACACCATGTACAAAAATTAACTCAAAAAAGATCAACAACCCAAATATCAGAGCTAAAGTCATAAAATTCTTAGACTACACTGATGTAAATTTTCATGTCTTCGTAGAATTGGCAATGAGTTCTCAAATACGACATTAAAAGCATAAGCTTTTAATGAAAGAAAAAAACTTATAAATTGGACTAAATAAAAATGAATGTATTGTGCCTCAAAAAGTACATTATCAAGTGAAAAGATGACCTATAGATTGAGAGAAAATGAGTGAAAAACACATATTTGATAAGAATCTGGTACTTGGGATATATAAACAATTTGTATGACTCAAGAACAAAAGACAACCCAAATATAAAAGGGACAAGGGCTTGAATAGACATTTTCGCAAAGAAAATACAAAGAGTCAACAAACACATAAAAAAAATCTAAAACATCATTTGTCATTAGGGAAATGAGGAGCCACTTCACATCCACTCGAATGGTTATAATAAAAAAAAAAAAAAAAAGGAGAACAAACTGTCCATAAAGATATATTGGCTGGACCCCTTGTGTGCTCGTGGTAAGAATGTAAAAAGATCTGGCTGCTGTGGATAAGAGTGTGGTTATCCTTAAAGATTAAAACTAAGAATAACCTATAATAGAGAAATTCCACTCCTACATATTTACCCAAAAGAATTTAAACAGGAGACCTTAAAAGCACAGAAAACAAAAGCAAATATAGACAAATGGGATTATATCAAACCAAAATGCTTATGCACAGAGAAACAAGTAACAGAATGAAGACTGCCTATAGAACTGGAAAAATATTTCCAAATTATATATCTGACAAGAGATTTATATCCTGAACACACAAGAACTCCAAAGAACTCAAGAGCAAAAAAGCAAAAGAATAAAAATAACATGATTTAAAAATGCACAACAGACCTAATAGACACTTCTCAAAAGAACATGGTATATGAAAAAAATGCTCAACATCATTAATTATCAGGAAAATGTAAATTTAAATCATAATGAAATATTACCTCACCCTAATGAAAATGATTACTATTAAAATGACTAAAGATAAGTGTCTATGAGGATGTGAAGAAAAAGGAAACTCACACACCCTCAGTGGGGATGTAAATTAGTACAGCCATTATGGAAAACAGTATGGAGGTTCCATTAAAAAATAAAAGCTGACCCACATGATCCAGCAGTCTCACTACTAGGTATACATCCAAAAGAAATAAAATCACTATGTGAAAGGGACATCTATATTACCATGTTCTTGGAGTACTCACACAAAAAGTAAATAACATACAACAGCCAAGAAATGAAAACAACCTAAGTGTCATCAACTGATCAATGAATAAAGAAAATATGGCACAAACACAATGAAATAATATTCAGCCACAAAATAATGAAAGCCTGTCATTTGCATCAGTATGGATGGAAACAGAAATTATTACACTTAGTGAAATAAGCCAGTATTAAAAAGACGAGTCCTACATGATCTCACCTGTATGTAGAATCTAGAAAAGTTGTTCTCATTAAAGTTGAGGGTAGTGTGGTGATTATCAGAGGCTGGGGAGTAAAGGAGGAAAGAAGAGATGGGGGAAAAGCTGATCAGTGGGCACTAAGTTAAGGTTAGAAGCAAGAAGTTATGATACACTAGTACRTAATAGGGTAATTAACTACAGGAAACAATATACTATACATTTCAAAAATCTCTTTTAAGAAAGGATTTTGAAAGTGTTCACCATGAAGAAATCATAAGTAAGAAGACAGACATGTTTTCCCTGATCTAATGTGTACATGTACCAAAATATTACATGTTACTCCATTAATTTGTATAATATTTATATTCATATGTATCAGCTAAAATAAATTTTAAAAATTGACASAGAAACTCAAACACTTCTTCATGAATGTTTACAGCACTATTCATATATAAAGGTGGAAACAATCCAAAGGTCCATGAAGAGCTGAACAAATAAACAAACTGTATTATATACATTCAACAGAATATTATTCAACTGTCAAAAGAAATGAAGTAATGAAATGTACTACAATATGGATGCACCTCAGAAACATTATGGTAAGTAAAAGAGGCCAGATAAAAAAGATCACAACCTATGATTCCACTTAAACCACATAGCCAGAGTAGATAAATCCATAAAGTCAAGCAGGTTGGTAGTTGTCTGGGAGTGGGAAGAAGGGAGAAATTTGAGTCACTACTTAATGTGTTTACTGTGAGGTAATAGCAATGTCTTGGATCTATATATTGTAGTCAACACACCACTGTGAATGTACTGAAAGTCACTGAACTTCCCAGTTTAAAATAGTTAATGTTATATGAATTTTACCTTTAACACAACTAAAATAAGCCAGCACTCATCCTTTTTTTAGTATAATATGTAACTAGTAGTTACATTAATAGTTATTATGGTTAAATTGTTGATATAAACCAGTCAACTACAAGGGCTTTTGGAATAAAATTTAAAATAAGATGTCAAAACTCTTATATCTTATCTATAAGAAATCTATTTTCTCTCTTTTGTTGACCCTATTTCTCCATTAGATTATAGGGTGGGCCTCTACTGCTCAAGATTTACTGGGTCCCATTCTTGATGTTGGTTGCATATAGAAACACATGTGCAGGGATTACATATAGAAACACATGTGTGTGAAGGGAAATCTCCACTCTCTGAAGAGTCACTGGAATAAACTGACAAAAATCAAACAGGAGAAAAAGCATACTTTTTTTTTAACACACATACACACACAAAATTCATGGAGGAGGGGATTTACAGGAGTATGGTTACCTACCAGCTCGAAACTATCTGAATTATTATTACCCACTATATAGAAATTTATATACCTCTTTGTGGAAGTGGAGGACAGGGAATGTCAAGGGACGAATAAATGACTTCTAGGGAAATACACGGACTGGGAAAAAGTGTAGTTGGCATGCAGAACACCTCATAATATGTAAATGAATGCAACAGAGGATGATGGTATGTGACTAAGTATGTCAACAATCTCTGGTTTCTTTTCCTATGATGTGAGTTTAATTAATGGCAGCTCAGGGAAGAGATCCGGAGGTAGCTGTTTTCTTCCTTGGGGGTTCAGACTATAAGTAGACAAGAAGACAGCTTCTTCCAGTGTTTGCTATTAAGTTCTTTTAATTTAAAATAATCAGCATTCTTTAGTGCCATATTTTGGTATAATTCCTGGATTTTTTTTTCAATAGTATCTCTACAGTGAAGATGTAGAAAGTGGGGGCTTTTTCTCCTGCTACTAACTTTCTTCTCCTAAAATGACTAGGACTTGATGGAAAACACTTCTTATTTAAAAGAGAGAGGGAAGATGTTATGTAGACAAATATTTGGGAAGTGTTGAAATTGAAAAAAAAATTTGTTTGCTTCAAGATACTGTATGTTTAATATGTAAATACACATTGCAAGTCTTTAAGAGGAAAATATACTATAGATTATTTGTCAAATTTACTAAACCAAGAATCCCTTTTAAGAAATATCTATTAATATTTCCTAGATATTACTGTTTCATGGAGCATTGGTTTGGATTCTAATGTAAAAATAACAGAATGTATTAGTTACTAGAGTTAAATAAAAATTACAGGAGGATATTGCTTTCGATGAAGTTCCTGTACTAGGTCACAAAAGACCACTAAAAATCAAAACAGACTTACTCTTACTACATGTTTCATGTCATTAAATGTAAAGTGTTAGCTGACTTTCTAAGAAATCAGGAGACAAAAGCCAGACTTCCAAAGTTAGTTTCAATGAAGTTCTCTAAGTTTAAACTTCAAAAAGGTATCTGAAGTAACTGATGTTAATTATTTATTATCAGATTATTATTTATCTCTCTGTCCCTGCCTAACTAGGAAAGTAACTCTGAAATGACCA